ACAACATTGCATGTATGTTCTATGTAAACAGACAGGGAGGAGCTTGATCCCATTCGCTTTGCACAGAGGCTATGAAGCTCTGGAATTGATGCATTGCGAACAACATCCGGGTATCGGCTGCCTATCTTCCCGGAGTAACAAACACCACAGCGGACGAACTAAGCAGATGCTTCCCCTGGGACCACGAATGGGAGATAGACGAGAAAACCATTCACAACGTATTCCGCATTTGGGGTTACCCAACCATAGACCTTTTTGCAACTACAAAAAACAAGAAATGTCCCAATTTTTGCTCCAGGGCGGGACTGGGCAAACATACCCTGGGAGACGCATTCATGATCCCATGGCACCGAACCTTACTCTATCCGTTTCCCCCGATACCAGTTCTCAACAGGGTCCTGATAAAAATACGAACTGACCATGCCAAGGTGATCCTAATTGCCCCATCGTGGCCCAGACAACCATGGTTTCCGTTCCTCACCAGAATGTCGATTCGACCACCAATCTCCTTGCCTCTTATCCCGAACCTCCTATCACAACAACACGGCCGCTTTCTCCACCCCAACCTGCCCATGCTTCACCTCAAAGCTTGGTTCCTACATGGTTCTCCCAAAGCGAACTAGATTGCTCTGAACAAGTTCAAAGAGTGCTCCTCCGTAGCAGAACACAATCTACTCGCACCACCTATCTACGAAAGTGGAAACAATTCACACATTGGTGTTCAGCTAAACAACTTTGCCCCACGTCGATATCTCTTTCACTCATACTTGACTACCTATTGGACCTTAAGCAATCCGGCCTTTCTTTCAGCTCCATCAGAGTCCATTTAGCTGCTATTACAACTTTTCATGACAAAATTGATGATACTTCTGTTTTTGCTCATCCTATCACCAAGCGTTTCCTCAAGGGACTCCAAACGCTATACTCCAAACGCTAAACCACCTACCACCCCGTGGGACCTTCATTTAGTACTATCTTGCTTAACTCAACAACCATTTGAACCCCTAGCCACGTGCTCCCTTTTACACCTTTCGATGAAAACAGCATTTTTAGTGGCAATTACCTCTGCCAGACGGGCAGGAGAAATAGCAGCTCTTATCGCAGACCCATCATATACGTTATTTTTCAAAGACAAGGTTACCCTCAGATTACACCCCAAATTTCTTCCGAAGGTGCATTCGTCATTCCACATTAATGAGCCGATACACCTACCAACCTTTTTTCTGAAACCGCATGCGAACTCGTTCGAAGCCTCAATGCATACATTAGATGTACGCAGGGCCTTGTCATTCTATCTGGATAGAACCAAACCTTTTAGAAATTCTTCTAGACTTTTTGTCTCCATCGCGGAGCGCTCCAAAGGTACGCCTATTTCTACCCAGAGACTTTCAAACTGGATTTCTCAGTGCATCCGGTCATGCTATCAGATGAAGAAGGTTACACCTCCAGATGGCGTCAGAATGCACTCCACTAGATCCCTGGCTACTTCTGTAGCATTCTTGCACAAAGTTCCCATGGCTGATATCTGTAAAGCAGCTACCTGGTCTTCTGAACACACATTTGTTAAACACTATGCCCTTACTCAAGGCCCTCTCTCTGATATACATTTGGGCAGGGCTGTACTATCTACGGCATTCCTATCAGATCCGAAGTCCCTGCCTCCTTGAGACACACGGTTTTTAAGTCACCTGGAGTGGAGCACCCATAGGGACATCTCTCGAAGAAGAAGAGGAGGTTACTCACCCTGTGCAGTAATTGATGTTCTTCGAGATGAGTGTCCCTGTGGGTGCTCCACTACCCACTCTCCTCCCCTCTACTTTGGAGTTGGGGTAGCCTCCGTTGTAGAGAAGGAACTGAGGAGACTGGCCACGCATGCGTATTATTTACCTAGACTCACAGCGGGGGTCAGCCTCTGCGCATGCATGGCTGGTACGAGTACTGCTGTAAAAATCTCCGAGCAAAGGCGCAGGGACGCACCAACACCTGGAGTGGAGCACCCACAGGGACACTCATCTCGAAGAACGTCAGTTACTGCACAGGGTGAGTAACCTCCTCTTAAGATTTCAGGAGGTAGAAGATAGGCAAATCCACCAGTGCAAGAGAAAATGGAATTTGGAAATGTCTGACATTAAAAATTTGTTTGAAGCAGACCTATGTAAATAAAGAGGATCTGAATACAGTTTTCTGCTTTGTGTTTGCTCAAAATCTTCAGAGAAATTAGCAATAACTATCCCCAGGTGAGGCAGAACAACACATTTCTCCCAGTACAGTGAAACATGACTTGCATGAGGTTTGAGGGAGGCAAGCTTTAAACCATATTCTGAGGCATCGCTACACTGGAATTCAAAGCATGTTAGCCAGCGCCATGTTTAAAAACAGTTCTTGCTAGAAAGGTGCTTCAGGTCCCAGTGAACAGAGTGTCTAACCACGGTCTTGTAAATTATTTTATAACATGTTATATTCTATAGGCTACATTCACTGAGTTTGTTACACCAGTGGCAAGTTCAAACCATTCTTTTGCTTTCCAAGTTAGAATAATGCTTTTAGCTAATATAATATCACTTTCCATTTGAACAGTTCTTTTCACACAAGGATTTCCAAGCACTTTTCAACTATTAATTTATTAAGGGGACACAAATGAAAAATCACACTTGAGTCTGAATATTTTTTAATACTTACTATTGTTACAAGTAACACCTGAGAGTACCATAATTGAGAACAAAGAAAGAAGGTTTTCCACCATCAGAGCTCTGAAGAAACTGGGTCAGATCGAACAATTGAGGCACAGGCCCAAACCGCACTGTCCGATGGGAAGCAAACAATCTAACCTAGGTTTGTCTGTAGCACAATAGGTCTCACAACTGCTGCCTTTAGGATTGTGCAGGTTGTACTTCTTTCTGCAGCTGACCCATCTTGCTGTTCAGAGCAAGTGGAGGGGATAAATCTATTGATGGTCCTTCCTCCTCTCCACCCATTTGAGGTTGCTTGCTGTCCAGGGGGCACTAGCAGAGATTGCAAATCTGGCCCCTTTGTTCCATGACCCCCTTGAAGTGCTACAAGGAAGGAGAAGGCTTCTTGCCATCTCAGCTCTTTTGTGCACTAGCAGAAGGATCAGCCACAGTCTGGGTCAATATCATAACTAGATTGTATCACTCCTGGAGTGAGATCTTATAAGTGGATTTTTATAAGCGTACTATAAATCACTGAAAAATACTGCTGATACAGTCTTAAATATGCTAACATTAGCAGATGCTTCTGTAATGCAATCCACACAACCTAATTAATAAAATCAGAGTTCTGACAACAAAGTGAACACAGTAAACTCATCACAATACAATATAATGGCTTAGAGTTAGGTTCTCCATTGATTTATTTGTTTTATTTATGGATTTAAAACAGTTCTCATTGCCTAGCAATCTATACATCCTACACTCGTAAAGAATCACAATGTTACATAAAATACGGGTTCTCCAAAATAAAGACTTCATAACAAAATCCCTTCTGAAAAGAAGTCTAATGGTTGATTTAAAAACATCGTTGAACAGATACATTTCATGCCATGATAACCAAACATATGTTTAATATTCCCATACGTAATAATCCTAAATCGAAATTCCTGATCTAATCATCTTTATGCCCTAAATATGCAAACATTGTCACAAATGAAAACTGATCTATAGCTTAATTGGATATCTTTCCTAATGTGATATAAATTCTACAGGCAAAATCTCCAACACTGAATTAAATGATGGAGAGATTTAATGCAAACTCCTATAAATCCAAATTGCTGTGATAAGAGGAGTGAAACTGCCGAATATTTGTCTACCTGTGTTTGTACTGCATGTAGCACAAGGGGGTGCTGGTCCATGACTAGGGCTCTTAGTCACGACAGTAATACAAATAATAATAATAAATAATACTTAGTTTAAACACAAAAGTATATTCAAAGGGATCTGTTCTCTTCCCTCCATGCACAGGGAAATAACACATGGAAATCTCATATCTGTGAAGAGAAGAGAGCCCGGAGAGTTGTTTTGCTTAAAATACACACAATTTATGTTAAAGGAAATTACATATTGTATATACTTTACTTTGTGTCATTCTGTGTTCTTTTTGCTGCTTAAGAGGTTTTACTAACCAAAATTCTGGGAACTCACTGCAGGATAGCACTCTGAACAATTTTTAAAGCTCAAATACTTTGTAAAATTAGTAGCATTATCTTTCCAGATGTGGAATTTGCTTTTAAAATTATGCAAACCCACTTGCACATTTTACTGTTAGCTGGTGTAAAAAAGGACTAAGTGCCCTTTAAGACTTCAGTGTTCTACAGGAGAATAATATTAAGTTTGGAGGGTCTTTGTAGCCAGTGTCTTTTTTGTAGTTTATGGTTTAACGTTTTATAAAATACCATCTATAGAGATTAGATATAGATGTTTACAGATGGATGATGAAATACAGTTTATGCAAACAAACCTCAAAGCCTGGAGCAGACTCAGAGGCGGAGTTTAGGTGATCAAGCAGGGATCAATAAGGCAAACCACTTTATTCCACTTTGGGAAGAAAAAATATGTAACCTCTTGGGACAGCAACCCTTTATTTGGCTGTTTAGGGCCACAACGGCTTCTGCTGCTGTGTAAACAGTAAGTATTACTCCTGACACAGGACTCCCCAAGTGCTTTACAGAGGTGATCCCGTTTCACAGATGGGGAACGGGAGATGCAGAGCGGCTCAAAGCAAGTCAGTGGCCAAGCTGGGCATTGACCCCTGGGCAGTACTGTAGGTCAAATGTACGTCCTACTCTATTTATGGCTCTCGGGAGCTGCGCCCGCTAAGCCCTGGCCCTTCCGCAGCCCGGGGGCTGCCCGCTAGGGGCTCTGAGCAGCGGCTCCAGGCTGGCGGCTGCAGGTTGCCAGAGCGGTCAGAGGGGGGAGCGAGCGGGACAGACTTTGCACGGCGCTCCGGTGCCAGAGCCTCCCCCGTTCAGGGAGAGCAGGAGGGAGCCAGCCAGCCCGGCACTTTCCTTTTGGGAGCGGGGAGGAGCAGCAGCTGCGCAGGCGTCTCTCGCACCCTGTTGATTAGTCAGTGCTGGGATGGCGTTTCCTGGGCCAGTCGCAGCTGCGAGCCGAGCGGGGAGCAGCCCCGGGGGGCTGGAGGAGCAGCCGCAGCCGCTGGGCGGGTGTCACCTTGCGCTTCGCCAAGCCTAGCATGTCCCGGGGAAGCGGAGGTGGAGGCGGCGGCAGCAGCTGCAGCAGCCGCCGTTGAGCAAGGCGAGCTCCGTCCTGTTGGCTGCAGCACCCCGCCGGGCAGGAGCCGCCGCCGCCTGCCAGCCTGACTCCCCCTCCCCGGGCCCGGAGGCGGAAGGGAAGATGGACCCGGGCCCCTCGCTGGGATCCAGTCTCAAGGATGTGAAGTGGAGCGCGGTGTCCGTCCCCTTGGACCAGCTGGTTAGCACCTACCGGCTGCCCCAGCTCGTGCGGCTGGACAGCGGTGAGTAAAGCCCCGGGCCGGGGGGACGGGGACCAGGGCTGTGAACAGCAGCCGCCCATTAACTATTAACTTCTGCAGACTCGGCGGGCGGGAATGGCTCCTCCGGCACATCCCGCGCCTGCAAGGCAGGGAGAGATTCCCCGGAACGCGCGGCGCGGCCCCTTGCACGGCCTGGGGGCTGCCCGACCCGGGGCACAGGCGTGAAGTGACTTGCCCGGGGACCCCCAGCTTGCCACGGGCAGAGCTGCGGACAGAACCTCATCGTAGCCCGCCGCCTTTTGGACCTGCGCTTCTCCAGCTGTTCCATCCTCACAGGTCCAGGGGTCCTCTCAGTGACTTGGGTCCCAGCACGTTTCCTTGCGGCCTGCTCTCATCTCTGGGGCCACAAGCCTCTGCCAGGGATGGATTCTGACAGGAGTGTGTGAAATCCCTCTTTTTCAGTGAGCCTTGGTTTGCAAAAAGACCTTGAATGCTTTCTGGAAGGAGCTGCACGTCTGTTGTGGGTCTGGGGCTGCTTCATTTATTGGGGTGCATGTAATCCATCATTAACTGTGGAAAATGCAGAAGTGAGGGGATGTTTATAAAGTTAACGATTAGTTCCAAGAGTTTCTAGCTTGGAAAAATGTTACCCCCCATAAAAATTCAGATTCTGGTTCTGAGGGTGGGGAGAACTGCAGAATGCTACAACATACTAAAACTGCATTTGTTTTGCACTCTTAAACCAGACATCTCTGCTTATTAGATGTTACAGTAGAGTGTTGGCTCTTTCACCATTTTCTTTCTGTAGTCTACTGGTTTAAACAAATTGGATCATGCTCTTTTGTGTGTGTGTGTTTGGGGAAGCTCAGTGAGTCCAATGTAACGTCAGTTGGGAGTCTTTGAGAATAAAAAAAATACATGGTTAAAAATCTAGGAGGACATTTGCAACACCTAAGGCTCAATCCTGTGATTACATGTTGTGGAACCTACATCAAGGCCAAAGTAAAAGGAATATTAAATAAACCAAGTAGTCTAAGCCATAAATGTTCATCATGTTAATGTTGATTGAAAGGACAACAGACCTGTTAAAAAAAGAGATAACATGAGAAGTCTGTAAATCTCAAAGAAAAGGAACTTTTTATTACTATACCTCTACCCTGATATAATGTGGCCCGATATAACACGAATTTGGATATAATGTGGTAAAGCAGGGGGGGGGGCAGGGCTGCGCGCTCCAGCGGATCAAAGCAAGTTCAGTATAACGCGGCTTCACCTATAACGCGGTAAGACTTTTTGGCTCCTGAGGACAGTGTTATATCGGGGTAGAGGTGTATTTACTTGTATGCTAACTACAGTATCTAGGTCAGCATATTATTTTCTATTAAAATCTGGAAATTAGAAGTTATGCCCCTGATAGAATGGCTAGTAGAGCAACATGGTACCACATGAGACAAGTATTTGGGAATGATATTTGGTATTGCTGTTCCTTGAAGGTTTGGAGTGTCATGAAAATAATCGTAGATTTTCAGAGACCAGCAACTGGTGGTCGTAAAAGTATTATTATGCCAGTCACAGAGGGAGAGTTCAGGAGGTAGAACTTGGGTGAGAGGGATCAGTCCAGAGAGAGCAGCCCCAGAGGTACAAAAACAATGGCTTCTTCTTGGCCCAATACAAATGTGGGAGTGATTGGTTTTCCCTTGATGTATAGGAAGACAGCTCATGTTTGGGTGCCTGTTGCAGCAGTTACGGTACTTTCAAGTTTCAGAGTAGCAGCCGTGTTAGTCTGTATCCGCAAAAAGAAGAACAGGAGGACTTGTGGCACCTTAGAGACTAACAAATTTATTAGAGCATAAGCTTTCGTGGACTACAGCCCACTTCTTCGGATGCATATAGAATGGAACATATCTCCTCAATATATGTTCCATTCTATATGCATC